ATATGTAATGAATAAGATATAATGGAATGCGTTTTGTTTTGCGATTTTTTTTAATAAAAATATGTTGTGTTGCCAGAATGTTTTGTTTTGTTTTTTTTTTTATATGAATATGAATATGAAATATGTATTTGTAAATAATAATGATTAAACATAGTGAATGTAATGTCTGTCATTTGTTTAAAAGCTATCTTTGGACTATTTTGTCAGTGTAACATAATTTATCAATCGAAAATCTATGTACTTATTACATTAAAACTGCATCTCTGTTTGATCCTACCCTACATCAAAGACGTGATATTAGGTAATAGGGTAGTTTCCTAAATGTTATTTTAATGTCCGTCTGGTAGATTATTTTAAGACATTAGACACGTATTTTTTCTTTTCTCACAAAATTAAATGCTTTCGACGATATATTGATTTGAAACGTCGTGTGACGTCACAGCGTGTTACAAAATGTAGCACGTTGCGACGAAACTACCTCCCACTCCTAAACTTAACTCCATTTTATTTCAGTATTGTAACTATAGAGGTATACGAGAAAATAAAAAATACGTGTCTAATATTTTTTCATTATCGAACTGACGGACTAATTAGTTTTTTTAATTTTCATTCCCTGGAAACTACCCTATTAATAGATATTGTTTTCTACCCTTTCTCATCTCCTAAGTCCCCAACAGTCTTCAAATTCCTAATCCCCAAAAGGCCGGTAACGGCGCTAGTGTTCCGGGTGTCCATGGGCGACGCCGATTGCTTACTATCAGGTGATGTTAGTCATCCATCTGCTCGTTCACCGGCTTATCCCATTTAAAATGGTATTTTCTATTTTCCATTGATAAAATAAGAATTTACAAGACATACTAAATTAAGTAAAAACGCGGGTTACTCACGTGAATATACGGGTTACCCACGGGTTACCCACGACCCGCGCCGCTGGTGAACGGACCGTGCGCTTTAGCTTCGTCCATCGCGCTGCCGGAGTTGGAAGCAAACGCTCGTAGTGTCCGACAGAGGGCGCGTTGGGCTCGCAGCGCAGGTGGCAACACCGAGGCGAGCGCCAACGCTAGCCAGTGAGCTGCGCGACGTCGCCGCGACCGCGCACGCTGCTCATGAGGAAGAACCCCTCTGTGGTTCGAAACTAGTAGAGCTTTTCTCAGTATATTCACGTGAGTAACCCGCGTTTTTACTTAATTTACAAGACATTTCACAAAATACGTAGATTCTATGTAATAGTAATAGTGAACGAAATTGTATCCTATATGCGAAATAATACATCACAAAATAGGGTAGTAGACAGTGTATGAAAATTAAAAATCTAATTAGTCCGTCAGTTAGATAATGAAAAAATATTAGACACGTATTTTTTATTTTGTCGTATAAGAAAACAATACTTAGATAAAACAGAGTTAATTTTAGGAGTGGGAGGTCGTTATGTCACGCTACCCTATAAAATGTAGTAGGTAAATCGTGACGTCATACGATATTTAAAATCAATATATCGTCGAAAGAATTTAATTTTGTACGAAAAGAAAAAATACGTGTCTAAAGTTTTAAAATAATCTACCAGACGGACATTGAAATAAAATTTAGTATACCTACTGCCTACATACCTACTTTATCAATATACCTAGTAGGTTCTATATGTAGCATTTTTGCAAAACTGGTGAAGTTTTTTCATAATAATTTTATCAGTAGATAGATGTACCAATTATATCTATCTATAAGTAAATATTTTTCTGTAAAATCTGTAGAAAAAATGACATGAAAATAAACATTCCTGAATTGATGAGTTGGGTTTTATTTCAGTATCTACCTTCTACCAGCGGATTCGCCCGCGTTTCTGTGGATAAAAAGTACCCTATGTGTTATTCCAGACCGTTTTGACGTGATTGAGTACCTAACATACACACTTTTTTTTTAAATGCTGCCCCCTTTTTTTAAGGGGGGAAAATCATCGAATGACTGCTCCCGCCTGGGTGAGGCGGGAGGGAGTGTCAGACTCCTACTGACTAAATACCACCCCGTTCTAGGCTTGTGTAGTTCGCGAACGAACTAGTTCAAAAGAGCGCTCCGACATTCAAAATATGCGAACAAGTTCACGTCATTCCCAACTCCTTAGTTCCTTAGTTCGTATTTCAAAGTACAAGTACAAGGATTGTGAAGTCGTTTATATGGTGTATAGTCTATGGTGAACACCGAACTAAAAAATGCGATAACATATGATCTCATTTGAAAATTATAAATATTTCATTGCGTGCAGGAACTTGCATCAAAACTAGGGAGCGATTTGGCTGCCAGTGCCTTCCTAGTACCTATGCGATTCATTCCAATTCCAAATCCAACTGGGAGTCGGGAGCTGACGAACTAGGGAGCGATTTGGTTGCCAGTGCCTTCCTAGTTCCTATGCGATTCATTTCCAATTCCAACTCCAACTGGGAGTCGGGAGCTGACGAACTAAAAGAGCGAACTAGTTCGTTTAGGAGCGGCGAACTGATCTGAGTGATCTTAGTCGCGAACTATTAAGCACAAGACTACCCCGTTCCTTCTCCTGCACGTCGAGCCGGAGCCCCGGTTACCCGTTAGATTCTCCGCAACAAATGCTGCCCCACTAGGATTATCTCGTGGGTGCGTTTACAAACATACAAGTTCACATACACATCACACACAGACACGGAACTAAAATTTGTGGATCACACAGACCTTGCTTTGTGTGGGCATCGAACCCGCTACGTCGAGTAAGTCACAAACACAAACTTCCCCATGTATAATATTAGTAAGAATTCAGTTTTAGGGCTCGTACACAAAACTGCGATGCGATTTCGTGTGATGCGATTTCGTGCGACCGTCAACCGTACTAAACGTATTTTAAATTGAAAACTAGGTCGCAACGCAACGCACCTGTGACTCTTCTGGTGTTGCGGGTGTCCATGGGCGGCGCTGATCGCTTACCATCAGGTGATCCGTCTGCTCGTTTGCCTCCTATTCCATAAAAAAAAAGGTCGTGACATGAATCGTAAAAAGAATTCTGTTATTGCTTAGGAGATACAGGAGAAAGAAAAAAAGAAAGATTTTTTTTTTTAAGGGGGGAAAATCATCGAGTGACTGCTCCCGCCTGGGTGAGGCGGAAGGGAGTGTCAGAATCTTACTGACTAAAAACTACCCCGTTCCTTCTCCTGCACGTCGAGCCGGAGCCCCGGTTACCCGTTAGTTTCTCCGCGACTCCGAATCGGCATCGGCCGTAGGTATTGGGCCCCATCTGTGGTGGTCTGATGGCTCTTTGAGGCGCGCGCGGAACGCGACGCGCCGTACGCTCGGGTCTGTTTCTGGTCGGACGGGGAGCCACCCATGCTCGCCGTCCGCAGGCCCGCGCTTACGGTGGCCGGAGATCGTCTCGCGATCCCCGACGCCCGGTGTGTCCTTCGCGATGGCTGGGTTGCGAGGAGGCAGCGCTTCGCTGCCTCACGCGTCCCGCCTCCTCCTTAGCTAGCATGACTGCTTCGCAAAAGGAGGAGACGGCATCCCAATCCCCCTCGCTCCGCATCATGGCCTGCACTAGGCCCGGACGCGAGAGGTCGCCATCGCCGATCACTTCCCTGAGGACACGGCGGTGCTCAGCCCACGAAG